TCTCTTTACAGAATTGCAGAACTACAGTTGTTTTGCTTAGTTAAGCAGAGACAAACAGTGGCTGATCTATCAGCAGGTGGGGAACTTAAAGAAGTGAAACTCCAGATCAAAAGTGAGGTCTTTACCTAAACCATCTTCCCAGACACATTGATACATTAAGATTTTAGTTACAACAATATAATAATAAACAATACTCACCCTGCCAACAAGCTAAACAAAAAAGGGAAAAAATATTATATAGCATGTTTTAAAATAAATCCTAAAATCTCTTTAAAAAAAAGAAAACATGTAATGTCATGGGAATAGGGACTGGGAGTGACTGGCTCACTACAAAAGCAATTTTCCCTCTCTTGGTATTGACACCTCCTCATCAATTATTGGGAGTGGACCACATCCACCCTGACTAAATTGACCTTCAACATCGGTTCTCCACTTGCAAGTTAACTTCCTTCTCTTCACGTGCTAATATATATTTATGCCTCTATCTGTAATTTTCACTCCACGCATCTGAAGAAGTGGGTTTTTGACCCACAAAAGCTTATGTCCAAATAAATCTGTTAGTCTTTAAGTCGCCACCAGACTCCCTTGTTGTTTTTGTAGTGTCATGGATTGCACACCTATAATTTTACAGCATTCCCTGTGCATGCAAAACACTCATTGGTTTCAATGGAAGTTGTTAAGTGAACAAGGAGTTCAGTTTCTGTCCCTTAATTTGCATTGCATGTTCTTATTGTGGATGTCTATGGTCCCTGGTTTCTAACAGAATTTAGAGAAATAGATATAACTCAGCAAATTATCCAGACTCCTGAATTTGTTTTAGAAAATTCCATGGTTCGAGACACTGGACTGAAACATTCTAATGTTTTCTCAAATAAATATTCTCTGCTTAGCCCAGCTCAGCTGAACTTTCACTGTGGATCAAGATTAGTCACATGAGTAAGGGTCCATAATCTGTATTTAAGATTGATTTACATAAAATAATGTAATTTACTTCCTGATCTTCCCTTAAGGACACTTGGGGCATCTTCATTATTCATATGGACACTAGTCCTTTCCAAGTGCCCCAAGCACCTAATTTCCATGAAGGCTACTTTATACACAACAAAGGGAACACGGATCCCTATAACAGCTATTGCCATTTAAAATAGTCATATTTCAAAAGAGGGGTTTTTGTTTGTTTTGTAATTTGTGAACTTTCAAAGGAAATCAGAGAAGCATGTTAGAAATGATCATGCAGAATTACCGACTGATTACTAGAATCAATAGACATTTACTGATTCACTTAGTGCATGGTACAAACACAGCTAAAACAGCATCATAAAAAGGATCTACTGTGAGCTAAAAATACTCTCTCTGAAATGAAGGCTCTTTACTTGTCAAGCAATTACTCTCTCTTTTGCATGTAAATGGCCTTTAAGTCTGTAAACTGAAAAAGAAGTGGTCGCTAGAACTTGATTTTCTTTCCCTAAAATATCACTTCAAGTGCTGACCCTTTGGGTGATACAATTTTATAAAGCAAAATGATGTACTTACGACTGTGTCTGCGCACATAGTCAATGACTTCACATGGCTGCAGAACAGAAACAAAACAAGGAGAAAGAAAGGAATTCTTAGCTGATGAAGTGGTTTATTTCTAAATGTATACTGAATATAGAAACAT